GTGTGTGCGCACGTGTGCGTGTGTGTGTGTGTGTGTGTGTGTGTGTGTGTGTGTGTGTGTGTGTGTGTGTATACATATATTTAAATTCTGTAGGACATTATTCCAAAACCCATTTTGCCATTTGTTATTACCCACAAATAATTATTTTCAGTGCTCCTTATTCACTGCTCTTGGTACAGTAGATTGTGTTGATCATTAAGGAACTGCTGCCTCTGTGCTTTTTAATTTGCGCACTGACAGTTTAGATTACTCACAGAACTCTCCTCTCCCTTCTGTGCTTTTATGGGATTGCAGACTAACACTAATTTGCCCTTTCAGCAAATTGGCCCCTAATGTAGTTGAATATTCTTCTTGAAGCTATTTTGTTAACCAGAATTTCAACTTGACTCTGAAAATGTACTTATGAAATCTCATTATAGGAAGTCAAGAGTCGTTTAGAGGAACTTTATTTCAAAACCCTTGACAGGACTGATGGTCTGTTTTTAAATATTTAATTCCATGTCTTCTCTGATCCAAGGGGATTAAATGATACACTGACTTTAACACAAGCTGATTTGAGCCCTGACCTTGACATAATGTTTTTTAATAAATTGCTTCTGAGCTGTTCTAGGATTTGAGTGGTCTGTTTAAATCAATAACTGTTTGCGCTGTTGTAACTGGAATGTCAGCTTTAGAGACTTGAAAGTTACTGCTTTTATAGAAAGATTGCACTTTTACTTTTACGTGGAAAAATGGTACAAATGTTATATTCTCTTTCTTCCTTTGCAAAACAACACTGCTTGACATTTAGATACCAGAGTCTGATTCACCAATGGCTGTTGACTGACCTGAGGGCTTCATTACACAGAACAAATACCAGAATAAATCAAACACGTTCAGATATCAAATTTCCAGACTGGATTTATAGTTTACACACAGAGTCACTATGAAATTGATTGCTATTTTTTTTTTTTATTTAAAAGCCTGGTTTCGTTGTGAATGATTCATGTATACGTAAAAACAATGTCACTTTGTATATTGGAAAAAATATAAGTTTTAGACTTCTAATTTGTAATTTGTACTGTAAATGCTTTTATAGGTGAAAAATGTAATCAAATAGTCACCAGGAATTAAATGAAAGTTCATAACTTTAGCAAACTCAAACTCATGTTTGCAAGAACAGCTGTTTCAATTCATCATCCAGTAAGTGCTTAACATTTAAATCTCATGCTGTACAAATCTCAAGAGGGTTTTGATTGATTTATTTTATGCCTTATGTATGACATGGAGTCCAAACTAATGTGTTTTATCATGATCTGCACCTACCCCTTACAGTAATTCATTGTATTGTATTAGCTAATCCAAACCACAAACCTACACCCTACTGTGCTTTATTAATGTCTACACCAACCCTAACCCTATCCCTTACAGTAAACGATTGTGTTTTATCAATGCCCACACCAACCCCAACACTACCTACCATGTGTTTTACTAATGTCTACACCTACCCAAAACATAAATCAACCCCTCACCTTAACATATTGTTTTATTAACGTCTACACATATCCCAACCCTAAACCTACCCCTTTGAGTAACCTATTGTGTTGCATAAGTGTCCATATCAACCCAAACCACAAACCTACACCCTTTTGTGCCTAATTGTTAACACCAACCCTAACCCTAAAACTAGCCCTTCCTGAAAACTATTGTGTTTTATTAACATCTGTACACATACCCCAACACTAAACCTATCCTCTGTTTTATTGAAGTCCACACCTACCCCAAACATAAACCAACAATTAACTTAGTTTGTTGTATTAACGTCTACACAAACCCTAACCCTAAACCTTGCCTTTACAGTAACCTATTGTTTTATACTCACCTTTAGACTTACCTATTGTGTTTTATTAGCGTCTATACCGACCCAATCTGCAAACCTACAGTAGCCCTATTGTGCTTTATTAATGTCTACACTAACCCTAACCCTAAAACTATCCCTTAACAGAAAAATATTGTTTTAATAATGTCTACATCTACCCCAACACTAAACCTATCTCCTGTTTTATTAAAGTCTACACCTACCCCAAACATAAACCCACCCCTCACACTAACATATTGTTGTATTAAAATCTACACCTACCCCAACCCTAAACATATCCTTTGCAATGACCTATTGTTTTAAACCCACAATTACAGTAACCAATTGGGCTCTATTTTAACAATCTCGCCACAAAGTGTAAAGCGCATGGCGCAAAAGCATTAATGGCTTGTCTGAATCTACTTTTGCTATTTTAAGGATGGAAAAATTTGGTGGGCCGCATATGGTTTAACAAGGCTGTGCTTATTCTCTTGATGAGCTATGGGTGTGTTTTGAGAAAAAAACAAATATCATGCCATGGCACATTTGCTTTTTATATGGTGGACTTTGTAAGTGGAAAAACTGAATACTTTACTAGTGAATAAAATAGTTAAACTGTTATACTGCGCAAGGATAAAAAACAAACATCCTCCATTCGGCCTGTTTACTTTCTCTTTCTCTCTTTCGTGGATAAGGAAGTGGTGTTGTACACACTCCGCTGTAGACATCAATTAGCCTACATAATTATTTTCTTTTGTTAAGTGCAAAGATTTGTTTCAAAATTATTTCTAAATTCAGTTCTAATTTCCAGCAAACGAATAAATGATAAATAATAGCAAAGTATGGTCAAACAACTTGTCATGTTCACCAGCGAACAACCACCAGATGTCGCTGGTAAACATTCACACACAAACATTCACACTCATTGAACTATATCTGCCATGTTATGGACTACAACACCCAGTCATGCCACACACACACAACCGGTTCCAGATCCACACTGATTGCACTCTCACAGCTGAAGCCAATCACACAATGATTATTTGGACTATTTAAACCCCTCTTTTCCGACACATGTTGCCGAGTCTTGTTAGCTGTATCAGTGACATTACAACACGTTTTCCTTTGTCTGCCTTTGCTGTGTTTTGATCCTTGCCTTGTTAATTTATTTAATTCTGTTTGCTGCCTGCCTCTGACCATCTTCCTGTTATTTTGACTTCGACTCTGGATTGCCCTCATACATCTGTTTACACCTGAATTGACCATCGCTTGCCTGACTTCGAATAAACCTGCATTTGGATCCTACCCTCTGTTGTCAGTGTCACTCCCCATCGTTACATCCAAACACACGTCCTACGCCCTATTTAGTCCAAAACCTGACAGGTGGACAAATCTAAGCTTGTTTTTTAATAAAACAAATATAAATATGCATATAATAAATACTACTACTAATAATAATAACATTAATAATAAAGCATAGAGGCAGTGGTTTTTATATTTATGTAGAAAATAATAATAATTGTAATATTTTAATCAATCACTACTTTTTCATTTGTAAAGATATTTGCATATTGCTGTACATCTTGTGTGTATTAAGCAATGTATAAGTGTTTAAGGCACACAACTAGCACGCCCTGCGCATAGTCCGTAGTCCAAAATAACAATGCTTTAACATTCAACCACAACAAAAAAGTGGAAACCGGATGTACCCCAGAGTAGGTATGCAATTCTTCTTGATTTTTAATGGACATATTGAAAGGGTAGTTTAAACTGCTCTGAAAGTACTACAAATTTAATAATAGGCATAATAGTACTATTAATTATTATTAGTAGTATTATTTTGTTCCAATCAATTGTTGCTTAACCAAGAGTTTAACAGATAGCGCAAGAACAGCAGAAAGCAGATTGGATAACTTTACTGACTTTACTGGCAATTGCTTTCCTCAATATCTTTTTTTCTTTTTTTTTTTTGTAAAACTACATATATATATATATATATATATATATTTTTTTTTTTTTTTTTTTTCACTTTTACTTTAACATGTTTAATTCAGCCAGCAGTCAAATTTCTAATGCACATTTTATACAAATCTTTTATAGAAATATTTTATAGAAATTTTAATCAAATATTATCAAAATGATCATATTTACACCACCATTATAACATGTAAGCCATGGAGATGTGTTTGTACAACTGATTATAATCAATTATTTTGTAAATATTTACAAAAAATAGAGCACTTATGGACATAATTTTCAACGTTTAAATCGGCCCGAGAAATAGTCAGCATGTTCGTTACTCTCGACCGCAAGCTAAGAGAAACCGAAAGCAATCCGAACATATGGTACACTACTTTAAATGTCCAGTAGGTGGGGGGTAAAACCACAAGTGGCTATAGGCGACTGCACAACAATGATAATGATTTAAAAATATGTTTTTGTGGAGCGAATCTCACTATATTTTTGACATCAGTTGCGGGCCGAAGGGAGGAGGAAGGGCCGCCAATGGCCTGCAGGCCGGCAGTTTGAGACCCCTGCTTTACAGTAACTTACTGTTTTTTATTAATGTCTACACCTACCCCACAACAGTATACATACCCTTTACAGTAACCTATGTATTGCAATAATGTCTAGACATGGTTAACATCTTCCCCCAACCTAAATCTTCTATATCAGATAAGGTTGTGCACTTACTTTATGGGTAATAAGGCACTTGTGTGTTGCGCTAATGATCATAATAACAATAACTCACATTGCTCATAGCAAACACACACAAAGTATGTATGTTTGGATGAGGAAGAACAGATTACATAAACAAGTAAAATGAATAGTATTTTATTTTATTATTTATTTTATAAATTTTTTTTGGTGCACAAAAGTGTTCATGGAGCTTCATATGACTACAGCTGAACTGACATGGGATGTTTTGAAAAAGCTTTTGGTTACTTTTTTGGACTTTGAATGTCTTGCTGTCTATGAAAGATTTTATCTCCAATAACTTGTGTTGCAAAGATAAACAAATGTTTGGAATGACATGAGGTTGAGTAATCAATAACAGAATAAAAATTATATAAAATAATCCTAAATCCTGAAATTAATAAACTAAGATTTAAGTATTACAGGGTGAGAAAAACAGTCTCAAAATGCATGCTGGAAAACAAACCTGAGTGAGAGTGGTTGCTGACCAGCCGAGATGGCGGATGGGAGAATGATGACTCCACTCTCTCCAAAGATCCATTTAAAGGCCATTGATGGGTTTCGTTGTCACGCACAGCAACTTTTGTAGGGGGTTCAGGAGCTTTTTGGGCTGTGCTGGCAAGTAGTGTGAGAAAAGAGGAAAAGGCAGGTTGTTCCCTTCTGCTCTTTGATGAGCCTTTAGGATCTGATTGGACTACTGATGCTGGATTCCTGTCTGTCATAAAAAAGCCGCCCAGTAAATGAATAGAGGAGGGTGATGAGGCCACTTCCAGAAATGATCCAGAGGCTTCATGACTGAACTCATCTAAAAGAGAAAGAGAGAAAATTATAAATCCAAGAGCAGTCCAACATGCCTATTATAATCAAAGTTAATTTTGAGAAAAAAAAAATCCATGATGTAATATCTCCTCTAAAGGTATATTTATTTACAAGTTCGGTCTGGTTTGCAAATCTGATTGGCTGATAGCTGTGTGATATTCCGCAATAACAGCACTCGTACAGCCTCTTTACCTTTGTGTATTACTCCACCCACATTGAGTGACGGCAGATCAATTAACGGTTTGAAAAATATTGCAGCGGTTGGACAACATAATGTGCTTTTGAGGCTTTTTTATTCAAGTATGTAGTTGTTTGAATTGCAACTATGCAGTTTATTTATAAGGATAGTGCTTATTTTATTTTGGAGATTTAGCAAGTCAGTGGCTTTTAACCTGTCATTGAGCAGAGCAAAGAGGCTTGACGTTCGGCCACAGGGTGGCATTAATGACCGCATAATAAGTGATCAGGGGAGAAAAACTCAGCGTAAATTTAAAATTACAGTTGATCAAATCATTATTAAACTGATAAGTGATACTTTAAGTTGATGCTGTAGTGCTGTATTTATACCACAGTAATCTGGTAGTGTTTGCTTTTGCTTTGGCTGGTTAACTATTGTGATATCCCGATTGCAACAGAGAAATAGGCCTACTGGGAAATCTCTGTAGACTGATGGCATTTCATGTGAGCTAGATCACTTTGCTCTAAAGTGACATTGGTGAATTGGCAAAATTTTCTGCATATGTGAATGAATGGTTCCTCAATTAAAAGGATTTGATATATATATATATATATATATATATATATATATATATATATATATATATATATATATATATATATATATACAAAATACAAAAAATATTAATTTAAAATACAAAAATGTAATGTAAACCTTAATGTAATATGTAAAATGGCAATGTATTTATTTAATTTGAATTATGACATGTGCGAAGTTTGGTGCAAAATGAAGATGACAATTAGATTATAGAATTTATATTCCCCATTTTCAAACTGTTTGAATATGTAAATTACATACACATTTTTATGCTTTATAAGTTGCAAAAATAAACTGATAATGTAGTACTTAAATTTAAATAATTTTATTGATTGACAGGCATTCAGTTACACTGAATAAAATGACAGTTTTCTTTAGAATTTGATCATTAAAAACACCTGGAATAAAGTACACAATGACCTACTGTATATAACCTTTTTTTAATACAGGAATTTTACTTAGGTAAATTTAACAGATAAGCCAAGGTGTTTCATCCATGTAGCATTCTCACTGGGATGAGTCGAAGATTGCTAATAAAACTGTATTTGTGTGTACAAGTGTACGATGCAAAGACACTACTGTTCTGCACGAACAGACTCGAAATTAGATGTGTACGCATTCAGGTTCCTGGGCCACACCATCTCTCAGGACCTGAAGTGGGACACTCACAATGACTCCATTGTCAAAAAAAGCTCAACAGAGGCTGTACTTTTTTCGTCAGCTGAGGAAGTTCAACCTCAACAGTTCTACACCTCCTTCACTGAATCAGTCATCTGCTTGTCAATAACTGTCAGGTTTAGCTCAGCTACCAAATCCGACCTCCAAAGACTTTGTCGAATAGTTCGGACTGCTGAGCGAATCACTGGTACAACCCTCCCTACTCCCCAAGAACTGTACTTATCCAGAGCGAGCAGAAGGGCTGCCAAAATCACTCTGGACCGCTCACACCCAACACACTGCCTTTTTGAACTTTACCTTCTGGTCGACGCTTCAGAGCACTGCGCACCAGAACAGCCCGACACAGAAACTATTTCTTCAATCAGGCAATCTATCTCATGAACACTTGATGATGATAATACAGTAATTGTAAACCAACATCACTACTTGCCATACACTTTTATACACATATACAGTAATTTGACAACAAACATGGCAATTTGCACATAACAGCTGCACATATAACATTGTATATAGTAATATAGCGCTACCTACACTTGTCTATTTGTATATTTGCATTCACTACTTACTGATTTTTTTATATATTTATTATCAGCTCTTTTGTCCTGTCTCTGTAATTCTGTTACACTGTAGAAGCTCTGTCACAAAAACAAATTCCTCGTATTTGCGAATATACCTGGCAATAAAGCTCTTTCTGATTCTGATTCTGAAACGCACCAGGAGGGGAAACAAACTCTAGTGCGATTCAACCAAATTAAACAAGGCAGGTGTGAAAGCACCCTAAAAGACAGTCTAAACAAATGTTTTACCATAAAAAAAGACATTTTAGCCCACCATATAACTTTGTTATTGCTCAAAAATACAGAACAAGAAATCCTCAAAGTACAGTCTTCTATTCAGTATTGATGTTTAAAAAAATTGATATAGAAAATAAAAACTTTAATTTTGGACAGAACATGAATCAGAACAGCATGTGTATCACCATGGATTGATAGGTTAAACATGTCCAGTATGACAGACTTAAAAGGACATTGATATTGTAGCTGAAGAGAAACTCTTCAAAGGATTTTGCACCCATCCAGTCACTTCTTTAATGCATCCTGACATTGCTCTAATATGCTCAATGTCTTGCGGCCATAAGGATTCATTTACAGGAATATGCAAGCCCTACATATTCTACAGACTGTTTAAATTAGTTCTTTATGAATTCCTGACTCCTGTAAAATGAATTGTTTCACATGCTGTGTGCTGAATTGACAAGTTCGGTTACAGCTTGTAATAAGGGCAGAGATGAGTGACGGTAGTTTTATTAAAATCAAGAATTGATTGATTCATATACACAATAGCACTGAAATCTAATGAAAGTTAAGGAATCTAGTAAATGTTGAGATGCACTGCAATCTCGTTCTAGTCCAAATATTTAAATATGGTTTTAATCAAGTAGCATTTTCTAGACAATAGGTAATTATTGCCTTGATTTCAGAATAAAAAAGTAAACATTAAGCGATTTGGTACAGTGCAATAAAGAATGAATACCGTTTTTGGCCCCACAATGATTATGAGCTTGGTCAGCAGGCAGAGAAAAAGTGATATTGTATTTGATGGCTGTTTGAAAGCATTTAACCACATGGGTGTTTACAGTATGAATGCAACATAATTGAACGCAACTTCAACTGCTTCTGGAATCAGCTAAAAGTGTCCAAACTCAAAGCATTTCAGATCATATTTACCTGTACACAGTATAGCTTAGCTTTAGATTCATCCATGTTAAATCAGGCTGGTGTAAATGCATGTTAAATTTGTAAATAGGGCAGATGTAAGAAGATAGAGATGTAAAGAGAACAGAATTACAGACTTATACTGTTAACATTTTTTTTTTTTTGTAAATTACACAGTATTTAACTGTACAGTAGTTATTGTATTTTAAAGTGGCATTGTGAAAATGACTGTATATTTTACAGTAAAGATGTACAACAGCACTCGTACAGCCTCTTCACCTGTAACATATAGTCTGGAGGTGAAATTCCCTTGTTACCCCTAAAAGGGTAAGACTTTCCATGAGTTTACACCTAGTTTCAGCGAATCTTCCAGTGAAAGTCACTCGGTGACATATTATCTACTAAGATGCTGGCCAGACCCAGCCTGTCCCATCTATAAAGTCATTACAAAGAGAAAAAAAAAAACATCTTTGATCCCACAAACACCCAAAAGACACGCACTATTGAAATTGACTCATAGAAATCTCATATTCAGCCTAAAGTACATGTAATGTGTTTGTAACCTTTGTATTCTCTTCCTTAATTCTCTCTTAATTCTTACACTTGTATATGCCATTTTTAAGACATCAGACAAACTAAGAATGCATGAATTATGTTTTATGTATTTCTAAAAATGCCATGTTTGGTGTCATTCTTCTCAAACATAATTCTACAGCTCATGATCTAGGACAGAGCATGATAACTTGTATGCTTTGTGCATTTCAAACCATTAGTTAAAGTTTTGTCTGTCTGTCTGTCTTGGTACGTTACAGACAAGCAAGGAAACACAAAGAAAGTTTCCCACGTGACATTTCCTCTTACGTTATTGGTCAGTCAGGAGAGACCAGAAGTGATTTGACTGTAACCTTTAAATAACTGGTACACTCCCAAATCATCGCAGTTGGTCCAAGACACAAAGGAAGGCTCGTGTCTGTATCGCGTGGCTCCACGTTTCTGATTTTCCAGCAAATTATAACTTTTATGTTTTTGTCTCACATATCCTCCGATCTGCGTCACAAACTCCACACAAACGACAAAGGACTTCTTAAAATACTTAATCTTCCAAGCATCAGAGAGAGAGAGATCACAGTAAAAGTGAGAAAGACCCAGAAGTACAGGTATTTAGTCATGCGTTTGCACTGTGCCCTTGTAAGGTGTTTACATACTTGGTGGTTCTTAATAGTTTTGTGGGACTGAGTTGGATTTGCCATTCTTTTATCTAAACTCTTTTACTTCCTTTCTTCTTTTATGTTTTTGTCGTTATGTGTTAGACTAGTCAATAAATCATGCTATTGGATGTGGATTGTCTGTTGTCACTTTAACGGTATAGATCCTTGCTACCAGCTTGCTAAGTTTAATAAAATTCTAAACTATTCATCTACTTCACAAGAAGTAGCTATACCTCCTGTGTGTATTACTCCACCCTAGAGTGACAGCATATCCATCAGCATGTAGTTTATTTATAAGGATAGTCCCTATTTTTTAATATTTATAATTTTATAATTCAGCCATTAAGTCATTGAGCACAGCAAAGAGGCTTGATGTTTCACCACAAGATGGCATCATAGACTGCAAAATCAGTGCTTAGGGGAGAAAAACTCAGCGTAAATTTCAAATTCCAGCTAATTAAATCATAATGGAACAATAATCATAATTAAGTTTCATTTTAAGTTGATCTCTCTTTCTGCAACTTTAAGTCAATCTCTGCAAATATAAAATACACTAATATACTCCATAACTCCCCTACAGTATAATACAGTCCATATTCAGTGGTGT